CCAAGCTGTATAAAAGAAAGAGGAAGACCACGAAGAAGCCCCGACAAAATTCACTCTCAAAACAGAGAACATGTAATTTACTTTTCTTAGATTAACTTTTAATTACTTCAATTCCTTCGTACTTGTGTGCTTGCGCCCCTTGGAGGCATCTTGTTCGTATCCAAACTATAATCTTCATATTCGATAAAACACCCATTTTTAGGACTTTGTTCCAAGAGGTTTGTCCCTTACACAATCGTCTGATCTTTTTTTAATTGTTAGCGAGTAACCCGCGAAACAACACCATATCGGATAGTGAAATGATTTGGAGGTCCATATTGCACGATATCCAAAGGTCCACGAGACTATAGCGTTTTGATTTGCACCTATTGCGTAAGAAAATCACGTTTAGTCCTCGCACTTTAGAAACTCATTTCAATTCACACATACAAACCATTAAATAGCACTTATCTCCAACAATCCCCATATGAATAGAATAAATTAACTCAGTACAAGGAAGATGAAGAAGAGTATATCTAAAAGATAATGCATTAGGTAGGTAGCTTTAATTTTCAACCTTTCGTTGTAAAAAAATCTATATATACACTCATCTTTTTATATCATTCGGCACATGGACATAAGGATGGCAATGGGCCGAGCCGACTCGGCTCATGCTCGTCACGGACCGAGCTTCTGCTCGGCTCATTACTCACAAATCGAGCTCGGCTCGGCCTTTGAGCTCGTCGGGCTCGCAGCTCGTTAATTTATTATTATTTTTTTTAAAGATGTACCTTTATTCTGAAAAAAAAAAAATATATATATATAACCCTTCAATTTTGGACGAGCCCACGAGCCGCTCCCCCGTGGAGTGCTCGGGCTTGTCTTTCTGACGAGCCTGAGCTGTTCGGCTCGGTTGCCACCACTACATGGACATAAGATAGACCTCGACATCAATATTTATACCTACATTTTTTACCCCTCGTACCAAATCCTTCGTGAGGTTCACATATTTTTTTTCAGATTCTCTATAGTGATGGAGAACATTAGAGCTCTTACGGCTTTTTGCACATTATTTTATTAAAAATAAATTGACACGTCATAATTACTTTTGAATATAAAATTGAACAATTAGATAAAATACTATTAAAAATTCATACAACGTATAATCTACGCAGATAACTTCCTTCTATTTTATCGTATATGAAATAAAATTATTATTTTATTGAAAATAAATTGGAATGTAATTATTACTTTTGAATATAAATTTTCAACAATTGAATAAAATGAAACTTCGGACCTTATCCAATTCTTAATTCACATAATGGAGTCATAGAATGAGTATTGTGTTATAATGATGGAGTCAACATTTAACAGCGTGGAGGTGAACAAATTAAATTTCGAATTTAACGACACGTAATTAGACCAAATTTCTTCTACCTAATCTTCATGGATCGTTATTTATCCCTTTTTACTTATTTATAAATATTTATTTTACTTTACCAACTTAAAATCATTGAATTTTGTCCAAATATCATCATCATCATCATCATCATCATCATCATTATTATTATTGTTATTTTAGATTTAAACTAATGGCACATCAACCGTCTAGGGTTCCAAGAAACATTCCACTGTAAAAGTTATAATTAGCCACGATAAAGATAGCCATATAAAACAGTAAATCCAATATTAATACATAATCTAAATGACATGATAATAATGGAAAATAAGTACATTGCATTACGAATTCCTAGTTGATGAGAGCTAGGCGATGCGACGCAATTACCTAAAGCAAGATGGGCTCAGTATTGTCCTAGACCAGATATTTTAGTTATATTCTAAATTAATAATTTGAAACTTTTGAGAATTTTTATTATTATGAATAAATCATTTAAGACCATGAATTTTACCTTACAAAATCGTCAGTCATTTTGCTTTTGCTTTATAAAAAGAAGATATCAATAAACTTCTATAAAATGGTTTCACAGTATTCAGCCAATTGTCGAAATTTATTATTGTCCAAGTTATGATGTCAATTAAGTTCATTGATGTTAATTAATTTTATCTAATTTTCGCATTTATGTTTTAAAAAGATAATTAATACTTAACACTTATTAATTTAGGGTTTCTAGATTTGTGGTGTTACAATTTGAACATTCCCTTGTGTAAGTAGATTAGTAAACATGATATCATTGAACTATTCTTCCATTTGTGTAAATGATGACACACTCCACACATGCTTCTTCCTAATGCAATTAAGTTCTTATAGTTATGTTCATTTTGGCCATGAACATTACTCTAGTGCTGTGAGAGTTTCTAAGAAATTAAGCCCTTATAATTCCCCTTTGAAGTGGTCCCACTTATTTCTAACACATGCGATTTCTTAATTAAGAGTAACCGGCATTACTCTCTTCTAATATTTCGATGCATTAGGATCGTTAAAAGCTTAGCATATCATTTATTCCTTATGGGTATCACTCATTTCATCATAGGAATTGAATGGGATAAATTTCCACACACAAGAAACACAATAATGTAATTGATAAATGCATCGTTCTTTGAACATGTATTTCCATATAAGTCCAAAGAAGGACCAAGTTCGTCAAAACGAACATTTGAGACTATTAGTGAAAATAGTTCGGACAAAGGACATGAAGAAAATGAAGAGATTCAAAATGAACCTAGAAGTAAGAGCAAGGACATAAAATCTTTTGGTCCAATTTTTTGACCTATCCTCGAGAAAGTGAACATCAAACTTTTAAAGATGCAATAAGCTCTACTAAAGGACCTTTGTGGATATAGGCCATTAAGAGTGAAATTGATTCCATACTACAAAATCACGCTTGTTAATTAGTGGATCTTCTCCCTAGGTGTAAACCTCTAGGATACAAGTGGGTTTTTGAGAAAAAGATGAAAGCAAATGGATCAATTAATAAATACAAGGCGAGGCTTATAATTAATGGTTATAGACAATAAGAAGGTCTAGACTACTTTGATATCTGTTCTTTTGTAATGAGAATAAATTCTATAAGGATGGTACTAGCAATTGCTGCCATTCACAATCTTGAAATACATCAAATAGATGTGAAAATAGCATTTATAAATAGAAATTTGGATGAAGAAAACTACATGAAACAACGTAAGGGTTTCAGTGTATCGAGCAAGAATTTTTTTTTTAAATTGGTGAAATCTTTGTACGGTTTAAAACAAGCACCAAAATAATGACATGAAAATTCGAAGGTGCTAAATGGATTTAAAATCAACGAAT